GCACTGTGAGGAAGGAAGAAAGGAAGTGCGTGGCTAGAACAAGGAAGAGCCGAACAAGATTGATCGTGAGCTTTGTGACAAGAGGAGGGTTGGTGCTGGAAACTCAATATTACCGATTTGCCCCTGAGGGTATTTTAGTAATTAATTAATGATGAAAAATCATTACTACTATGGTACAATTGTTCTGCTACCAACAACATGAAGAAAGAATCAATACAACACGATAGAGACAATCTGATCAACAAAGAATCTGTTCGAATTCAAAGCTATCTCATTCTCCTCTGATTCATCAAGACACAAACTTTTGTCTGCATTATTATTAGCCTTGGACCTTTTTATGCATCGGTTACACAAACTCCTCCTCGTCATCATCATCTTCTTCTTCGTACTCGGAATCAGATTCTTCTACTCTTTCAGGTTGCATCAATGAATTCATGTCAAAAGAAGATGGATCAGATTCTACCTCTTCTATACCTATTGTGTCGTAGCTCATTCTCTGTTCGAACTTCTCGTCTGAACAGTTAAGCATCCAAGCCAATGAACATTTGATTCCTTTCTTGAGTATCTTCTTGTGCCTCGGCTTTACGGTGGACTCAAGCCCATAGGTAAAGTACGCTGGGAAATCGACTAGATCTTGAAGAGGTCTTCTCATTTCCCTTTTGAAGTATTCAAAGCTAAGTTTCATGATTCCGAGGTTCAAAGCCAGAACCTGAGGACATCCAATTGCCATTTCCCTCGTTTGATCGATCGAAAATCCGCACTCCTTAAGGAACTCAATGTGCTTTAACATAGGGGGCTCGCTGAGGCTGACAAACTGTGGCATTCTCTCGATTAAAGAGCCGAGATCCTCTGGATTTAGATCAATGGCTGAACAAAGTAGCTTCCTTTGCGTCTCAAGCTTAGGTTTAAGTTCGACTCCTATGATTTCAGGATACTGTGCAATTATAGAAGGAAGAGCTGTTTCTCTGACATTGAAATCTTGCAGGGTTTGCACGTTTCGCTTCACCGTATCATCCAATTCAAACCCTAGAATGTGAGGTCGCTTCTCAATCAACCTAGCTACAGCCAGTTTCGGAATACCAAGACTCTCAAGATACTCCACGAGAGGCTTAATTATCCGAGCTACCCGCATTCCCAAGATCTCGGGGTATCTAGTCAAAATACCTCCAATCTCCCTCCGAGCTACGCCTATACCAACCAAATAAGCGACTGACGTACTCATAGTCCCTTCCAGCTTAAACCCTAAAACTTCTGGATACCTCTCAAGCACCCGAGGCACATCAATCGGTTTAATATCAAGTCCTTGGAGATACTTCACCACCGGTGCAAGATCGATAACAACACTAGCGTGAAGAACCTGCGGATATCTTCTAAGAAACTCAGTGAATGTCGATTTCCTAACGCCTAATTTCCCGAGATAATCTAGTACCGGAACCATGTTCTTCTTCACGCTACAACCAAGAACTAGAGGGTAATTGTTGATATCTTCAATGGTAAGTCCCAGCTTGTGAAGAAAATCAACACGCTCTTTCATCACATCAGCTGTTACAGGTAACTCAAGCCCATCAAGCTCATCAGGAACAATCCCAATCCCACGCAAGAACTCGTAAACCCTAGCACGATTTGCAGCTTTCTCCTTATTCATCTCTAACAAGCTAGGACGACTATACAAAGACTGAGACTCTCTCCTCTTATCCTTATCCTTATCTCTTCCCGAAGAACGAGACTTTTCCTTTTTCAATGAATCAACAGAACGTGAAGAGAATCTCCGATTTGCAATAGCGCATTGGACTGTTAGGCCAATTCCAGGTCTCTTCTTGTGGTTGCATAAGTTTCCATAAGTGGAATCAGAGAGTGAACGAGATCTAACGGAGAAAAACGATGGTGGCTCAAAGTGAACTAGCAAAAAACCAGGTTTTGTGAAACCGCTACAGAACCTAATCTTCATTTCTCTCCTGGAAAAAAAGGAAGAACAAAAATTGACGATTATAAACGACAAAATCATACAAATGTGGACTAACCCATAAACCTGTACATGATTAATTGCACAGAAAACGTCGTAAATTACTCAAATTCAAACCCAGAAAAATCATCATTCATTTTCAGATGATTTTCAGTGATAGTAACATCAATGACCAAAACAGCACAAAAACTATGAAATTGAAAGGAAGAAGATAAAGAAATGGAACAGTTTGCGATTGAATTTGACGGTGAAATCTCACCGGAGATGAGGAGTGATATCGGAGAAGACGAGGGTTTTAGAGGAGCGGGTAAGGGTTTTTTTTCGCAAGAAGAAAAAGAATACTCATCATCACACACTCTCTTGAAAATATTTTATCCGATTTAATGACACTCTGGCCCATATTTTCTGATAGTTTACCTAATCGCCTCATACTGTCTAAAATGTTCATGTTAACCCCACACGTGTACAATTACTGGAATATCGAAAATGAACAGTAGTAATTTCTCATACTCTTAATAGTATTGGGTTTTATGTAGAAATAGATAAAGTTACAGGGAGCTATTTGGAAGTATCGTAGTCTTTTAATTAGTTCGGAGATTTCTAAAGGAAGCATCGAGAAAATGATGGTCTCTTCGGTTGGTTACTCTTCGTCGTCTCCGATCGCCGCCGTATTCTCCGTCGCGCTTCTTCTGTTCTACTTCTCTGAAACTACTCTAGGAGCTCCTTGTCCGATCAATGGTGAGTCTCGCGGTTTTTCTCTGTTACTCTTCATAAGATTGTTTCGATTTACGACCTAGAATCAAATGTGGATCTTAATAACTTCATTTCTCCATACCAGTTTGGGTCTGATTCGTGGAAGTGTTTTCGAATGCTTAGTAGTGAATTTTGGGTTGCTGATATGATATAGATTAGCTTCAAGCCTTCAACTTCGTCGATTTCGAAATATTTTGAGTTTCTGATGTTAATTACTGGTTATTGACTCTTGAATGGTGAATCCAGGCTTGCCAATAGTGAGGAATATCAGTGATCTACCTCAGGATAACTATGGAAGACCAGGTCTTTCCCACATGACTGTTGCTGGATCGGTATTGCACGGAATGAAAGAGGTAATGTTCGATTCGATAGCGGTTTTAAAACTCTGTCCATACGTATCCGCTCGTCTCTTATCTGTGTTTCGTGAATCTGTAACCAGACACTCATGCTAGGACTTGTGAATTGTGATGGAGATTTTGCTCACACTTTAAACACTATATAACGGTAATACTGATTCGTTTCGGATTTTTCAGGTTGAAATATGGCTGCAAACATTTGCTCCAGGTTCAGAGACACCGATTCATAGGCATTCCTGTGAAGAGGTTTTCATTGTTCTAAAGGGCAGTGGTACTCTCTATCTCGCTGAAACACATGGAAGTTCTCCTGGGAAACCAATTGAATTTCCAATCTTTGCCAACAGTACAGTTCATATTCCGATCAACGATGCTCATCAGGTATGTCTTCAACCTCCCAAATCGTTTTCAGATGATTTTGCTGTTGCCTAAGGTCTTAACACTTTGAACTCCCAAGTTTGTTAGAGTTTCCTTCGATTGTAATCTTGATTAAGTGCAAAAAAACTTCATGTAAGGCTCTTAACCAATTCAATCTCGTACGCACAGATGTTAGTCTAAGTAACATTGAACGAATATGATCAACTTAGAGTATTTCGTGTAAGATTGGTTGAGAGTGTTAGATGTGCTGCATGTCCTATATCACATTTACAGACAATTATTAGAAGACCGACATTTTTCGCGAATGTTTTATATCCATATAAATCAGGGAAAGATACAGTTTTCTTCTGCTAAAAAACTTTGTTGGTTATCAAATGAAACTAGCTCACCAATCATCTATTCCGGTTCTTACAGGTTAAGAACACCGGTCATGAGGACCTGCAGGCGTTGGTTATTATATCTCGGCCACCGATTAAAGTGTATGTAACATCTTTTATAATAATATGCTTGTAGATATTATATGTGACTGTGTACTTTTACTAATCATATGCAAAATCACCACTCTTTTAACAGCTTCACCTACGATGACTGGTTTATGCCCCACACTGCTGCGAGGTTGAAGTTCCCTTACTATTGGGATGAGCAATGCGTCCAAGAATCTCAAAAAGACGAGCTTTAAAGCAAAGTCCGAGGCCTAAACCAAACACAATCTTTAAATAGTAAAATCATAGGTGAGTTTTTATGACAGTAGATGCTGGTAAATTGGTAAGGTTTCTACATGAATGGTTTTACCAGAAAGTAATCTTTGAAACTCTCAAGTCAAGCGAGTCTTATTGTTTGTTTTGAAAATATGTAAACTGTTCACATCTTCATTGCATTTGCAGTTGAAAATAGAGAGCCTCGCTTACTTTTTTACCTCGTCTATATCCAATTTGCCACTACGCAAAAGACTTGACCGTGCATTGCAATCTATGGCTCTGGCATATAATCGGCAGCAGCAGTTTGATGAACATCCTGATGAGAACTATTTAAACCCATAACATTCAAAGTTTTTTGTTTATACCTACATACACACAGTAGTTTGCAAAATGTTTTAAACCAATTAACTATCTTTTGCCCTTTTTTGTCAACAAAGATTCAAGGTTTGATCTTTATACATGTACCGGTAGTGTTAGATACCTAGATCATTGAGTAATTTCAGATATGTCAATTACACAATTCGATCAGATAGTTTTTTGGACAATGCACAGAGCTTAAAGTGAAGCTGTAGACAAGAGGCAACTCAACAACAAGGAGCTTAAACTGAAGCTTTAGACTGTACAGAGTTAAACTCGATCCGGTCTTGTGTCTTCGGTAAGATGTCCTGCAAAAATCTCAACCGTATCGCCTTGAGCTACTCTGTTGCGGGGGAATGACTGATCATCATCTAATAAATTCCCGTTGCTAAGAAAGAAATAACCTTCCTCAGGCAGATTCAGCCCCTGAATCTTGACGAGCACTTTCCTCAGTTCTCCAACGTTTTCACTAGGGTTCACATACACCGGAATCTTCCTCTGAGCTGTATCCTCACGGGAGAATGGCAATATCAATACTCTCATCATCTGCCGCGGTTTCTTGTTGCTCCTCACAGGTGAATCTGGAATGTTAATGATCTCTTTGCCTGCGTTTGACGGTACTGGAGATTGCTCGGTTTTCTCAGGCCAGTAGTTTTGAATGTTAGGGAAAACCTCTGTTTCCAAAGCCCGATCCTCACCGAACAGAATGTCTTCAAATGAGTTTAACGGTACAGGAGATTGCTCGGTTCGAAACACTTGATTGTTGCTGCTCCCTGGCAAATCTTGAATGCTAATGTTTTCTGTGGTTGTCAAAGGCGAATCTAGAACTTCAAGCTCAAGGAACTCTTGCATTGATCTTAAGTCTGACAACATTAGAGATCCCTCGGTTTGATCAACAACGTTATCGTCCTTGTTGCTACTACTCCCCATCACAGACCAATCTTGACTCTCAAGAAACTCATTAATTTGACTTGACGATGTTCCAAATTCCCCAGTTCGATGAAGCACTTGACCATCGTTGTTACTACTCGCCATCACAGACCAATCTTGAGACCCAAGAAACCCATCATTCGATACCGGAAATACCTCGGTTTGATGAACAACTTGATCCTCATTTCCCAAAGTCGAATCTTGATTGTTAAAGATCATTTCAAGCGAATCTTGAATCGACATTGACGGCACTTGAGAAGATTGCTCTGTTTGATGAAGAAACACTTGATTGTTGATGGGATTAGGTTTAGGGCAAGAAGGAACAAAGAGTTCGAGAAGAGATTTGTTACGGATTCGACATTTTTGGACATTAAGATGGTCTTTAAGAAGAACCTTGCCGTTAAAGAAAAGGGTTTGTTTTGAAACAGCGATACCTAAATCTTTCTCGATCTTCTCTCTGATATTTAACACTGTATCCAATAAACCTACTTCAATGCAGTACGTTCTGCCCCTATTAATCCTGACCAACACCTCCCTAAGGACCATAACTGTATCAATGGTATTTTTCAGATCAATGGAGACTAGTGAAGACGAAA